CGTACTGTGCTTCAACATAATATTACCGTGTTGTGTGTATATAACCTCTTTAAGTTTTGTGGATATTATACATGGTTATGCTGAGGATCTGTCGGCCAGTTTCCACTGGAAATGCCTTTTGGTTAAACTGTCAGCAAGAAATTTGCACTGTTAATGTTTTACATAACACATAAAAAACAGCTGCTTGTTTAAGTGAAAATACATTGATGTTTTTTTGTTTTTTTTTTTGCACTAATAAAGTTGTGGAGTTGTAAAGTATTTTCTCTGGTGTCAATTATATCGTCAGTTATATCGTTATCGCAAATTTTCAAGTGTATATCACGATAAATGTTTTTGGTCATATCGCCCTGCTCTATTGGTAACTAAACGTTAGCGGGATCGCTCTTCTACAACATGTGATATTTCTGCAGGTTAATTGGTGGCGAATTTCTGCAGCCATAAGCTGTTTCAATCAGTCGAGAGATAAGTTGATTTGCCGCGCTGCTAACATATGTTGCTGTCAGCATCCGCCCGAAATTAAGCTGCCACTAAAACTCTTGCGAATTCCCCCCACCGACAGACCCGATCAGAAATTCTCCGAGCACATCAAGGATGACAGGGCGGACGATTTTCAGAAACGCTACATTCTCAAACGAGACAACTCCAGCTTTGATCGTGAAGACAGCACGGTAGGTGTTTTTTCTTTTTTTCTTTTCTTTTTCTTTCCTCCACCAAGCTGTCACTTTCATTTCTGACATGTTGGTAAGAGTGGGACAATCTGGCGTCCCTGACATAGCTGTTAAAGAAGTGCGTGTGTGTGTGTGTGTGTGTGTCCTTGCCAGATTCGAATGCGTTTGAAAGCTGACAAGAGGAGCAAATCGATGGAGGAGAGGGAGGAGGAGTACCAGCGAGCCAGAGAAAGGATATTTGCACATGATGTGAGAGCTGTTTGTGTAGGCGGAGTGGGGCGGGGAGGGGTTGAGGGTGGGGGTGTGTGTGTGTGTGGTGGGGGCCATGTTGCACAAATCTTTGTGTCATTTCCATTCATGTGCAAATTCACTAGATTTCTTGCTAACAATTACCACGGCAGGATTTTTGAAATTATAGATGGAGGGGGGGTGCGCTCCGATTTTTCAAGGCCCTCCATCTTTGTGAAGAAGTCAGATTTATTGGTAGACATGCATGCTTTGGAGCCCACAGTGCAATGGCACGTTTTGTTAACACAGTTATTGACAAATTGTTCAATACTACAGAGAATTTTCATAAATATGAAACATCTTTCAGTAGAGATGAGTTGGCTTTTCTTCCACATTATTGACAGTAATTTCCCTCTTCACTCGCAGGGAGATCACTTCATACTGGATAGAAGGTAAGTAGTGAAATGGCATTAATCACATGATCGCTGACGTTCCGCCACATTTCATTAAATAGAAATATTCCCCCAAAAGCCGTGTCTGGCTAACGCAGATGATGAATTGTCAGGTAATTGGCCAAGGTAGGGCTGATTTCATCCTATAAAGGGGAACTGGAGCTCTTCAGAAAAGCCGCTACTTTAACAGAAGTTCAATCACTTTTATAGTATTCCTGTCAGTGCAGCAATTAGAGGCAGCCCTGCCACGTTTTAAAATGGTAGATGGCTCATTTTTGTCAGCGCCTGCTCTCTGAAATGCCTCTCTCCTCCCTTCAGTGCTCAGGATGAAGACGCATGCATGAGCACCCAACAGAGGCGGCAAATGTTCAGGTGGGTCCACACACACAGACACACACACACACACACCCATCCTCGCACACATACGTCTTTGAGCTCCTTCCAGAGAAAACCCTTTGAGTCGCTGTCTGTCTTAATCGGCTCGCTCAGGAACAGGACTGCTGATGTGAGGATTTGTTTTTGCTGCTGGAGAAAGCTCCTGTTTAACTGGATTTTCTGCCCAGACCTCCTCATGTGGGACAGCCTATTCACACCAACAAACGGCCAATTAAACCGCAAAAACATTTTTTTTCCCCCCAAAATGAAAACACCAGATCTTTTCTTTTTTTTTTTTCTTTAAGTGATCGTATATTTAGGAGTTTGTGCAGGTTGTTGTTAGGAGTAGACACAGGCTTGCTGGACTGCTACGATATGTTGTTACAGTCTCCAGTCATCTTGTAACATGTCAAACACCAAAAATAGACTTTTTTTTAAAAACTTTTCCAGCTGAAACAATAGTTGATCCTCAATCAGTCAACAAGAAGAATGATTAGGAATCATTTTTGACGGCTCATAAACCATTTTGGGGCAATTTCCAGTATGTAAGGGTGAAAAAAAAAAGCCCTTTAAGTACAAGCGTCCTAATCACAGACGAAGAAATAAATGATGATAACATATTTTGAAAATGTATGCTTTCTTGCCTTTCAGGTTACGGGCCGGCCAGTCTGGCGCCAGCCGGCAGAGCAGCTCGGAGACAGAAGCGCTGCCGCGACACGGCGAGCCCCGGCCTTGGAGCAGCACCGACAGCTCGGACAGCTCCAACCGACTTGCCCCGCGGCCCGCCATCACCAAGGCCAGCAGCTTCAGCGGCATTTCCCCCGTCCTCGTCAGAGGGGATAGCACAGCCAGCAGCAAGAGCACCGGGAGGCTCTCGAAAACAGGCAAGAGGCAGCCGAGCAGCACTGTGTTCAGATGATGTCCAGTACTGATAGACACCGTGGACACAGATATTTCCTAACAGTGGTGTGTTCACAGTATGGTGTTCACACCATTAATTATTTCTTAACAATTTGGGCAGTTACCACCACTGATATTAAGAAATCATCATTAAAAAAATAGTTTCAGCTATTCTTAACCTGTTAGTGCAGAATTAGCTATAAATATACAGTACGAGTCGTAACAGCTGATATCAGCCGACATATTGGTGCAGACCGTCCTCACTTGGTTTGAAATGGAACGACGGTGCAGTCTGAACGTAAAACGCTTGAATGAAGTGCAGCTCTCATTATTCTGTTATCGACAGACTGTTAATGAACTGATTTTTGAGGAGGGACATTCAATCAGATGTAGATTTTTATGTGATTGATGGCTTTTGTTCTAAATGAAACTAATGGGGGATTTGTCTCATTAGCGAGCGAGCATCTAATTTATTCATGCAGTCGTGCAGACGAAGGAGAGGAAACTCTGTCACAGCATGAGGAGGAAGGATTCACTAATTAGATGGTAAATGAGAAACAGAAATAAGAAAGTAGCAGAAGAGCTTCAAGCAAAATGCTCGCTTTTTTTGGGTGGGGGGGGGGAACCTGAGCTCTCATCAGAAGGAATGTTTGTCGTCCCGCCGCGGTCGATAAAAGTCTGCGGGGCGAGCGCAGCCGGACAGCTGTCAAAACTAATTACCGCACATCAACCTGGTGATGGAGGAGGTTCTTTAAATGTGGTGCAGCAGCAGTGGAAAAGCGAACAGTGAGGAGTTACTGCATAATGTATAAGTGTAAGCACAGGGAAGTGTCAGTGCCGTGTCACCGAGATGAAGTTCAGGCTGCTCCTCAACCGCAAGTGCTTACTCCACAGTACGATCCATTTGTAACCCGATTGGCTGCGATGAGATGTTCTGCATTACAGGCTTGTCTTCTTTATCTCAGTAACAAGCAGCAGTCCTTGGGCGACCTCTGCTCTCCATTTTGTTCTTGCTTCTTTTCCCCCCAGTTTTCCTTAAATCGTGTGATTTTTCACAGTCGAGGAGACATTTTCGCCTGTGCTGCCTTGTCTTTCACTCTCAAATAAGCTTTCACTGCCACAGATCACTTGAAAAAAGGAGCTTTAGTATTGTTGAAGCTAAAAAAATTTTTTGGGGTTTTTTTCAGCTTTTCTGACTGAGTTATGACAGAATTATCCGTTTCTTACTAGCAATCACGAACACAACTTATTATTTATGATGTGTTTTCTGAATCCAGTGGTGGAAAACATCCACGGAAACAAATGTGAGGTCATTTGCTTTTTCTACTCTGCTAAAAATCTATATTTATGTTTGCGGGTTAGACGTTTACGTAGAAACCATGTGAACAGCTTGTGAAGGATGATCTGTTGTTCTACATTAGGTTACAGAATATGCTTGATCTTTACAGCCGCATTAACTCTGCACCATGGCCTGAAATGTTGTTGCAACAGCGCAGACTTGAGCCACTGTGACAGGTGTATTTGGTGGTAATATGCTACACAAACACAAAGATATAATGACACTGAAAGAAATGTAAGGTGCTGTCATCGCTCATTATGCTAATGCAGTAGCTAGTATTCTGCCACACATGCCATTTTTCCCATTTTCATAGCTCTGACAACATGTGTTCAGACTCAGTTGGTGCTCAAGTCAGAGTTGTTCAATATTTAACGGCCTCGAGCCCGACGGGATCAGTTCAGTTTGCCTCATGATGGCAGACACGGGTACAAACGGTAACGTCACCTGCTACTGCGTATGCTCTGCGGGGGATTCGGTGCAGGGAGGCCGTCTTCAGGTTTTTATGGCCGCGTTGGAGCGAAACTATATGAAACAACATCGGGCCGTGAAACTGCAGCAAAGGATGGCTAATAAGAGCCATCGTCTGGTAATTAAGCTGGCATTTTGGCAAGTGTCACACATTTCAGTGAGGTTTAAAAAATGATCTGATTGGACAACAACGCTCAACTGTACTAGATGTTCAAGGTATTTCAGGTATAATCCACACGTCGCAAGGCTGGAAATGTTTACCCGCGTTTGCACAATCGAGCTTTGCAATAACAATCGATTTGCATGACAAATACAAATAAATGTGAGCATCAGCAATGATGGTTTGGTAATTTTGCGTTAATGGTGCATATCTGTGTAGTGTTATTGTTGTTACTTTAAAATGGATTAGGTCCCACCGTGTGTGTGTTTAAAGCACATAAAAATACCGCTTCTTTCGAAGCCTGTGATATTGTTATTTTGTTTCAAGCTCTTTAAATGTAAATTTAATCTTAACTACAGGCTATTCTTGCTCTCCTCCTTCCGTGAAAGTCCTCTAACAAGTTTTCTAATGGGAACAATATTAAACTCGGCCAGCTAAAATCCTAAACACCAGATTGGAGTGTCAGTCCCTCCTCCCTAAACCCCCTTCGCGCGCTCACCATTCTGCACAACATTCGTTAATTATACAGAGAGAGATCCATCACAGACGGTGCAGAGTTACCAGTTTCTCAATCAACAGTTGCCTCAAGAGACTGCAACGCAATGCTACCACAGGAGAGGTTGCATTAATGGCAAGAGGCATGACTGCGAATATCCTCCCGTGTTTCATTATCACCATAGGCTCTTCTCCTCCCACATGAATAACGAAAGCACAAAAGCGACAAGTTTGAGTCGCTGTGGGAAAATCTAGAGGCAGAGGATAATCACCCCTCTGTCCCGCTTCTCCTCAGGTTCAGAATCGTGCAGCAGCGTCGGTTCCTCGTCCAGCTCGCTGTCCCGCCCCCAGCTGCCTCTCCCAGTCTCAACCTCTTCCCGCTCCAACGTTCCCAGCGCACCTTTAATCCATCCCGCTGCTGACGCCAGAGGCGCCGGACACCCTGAGATGACCAAGAGCCTCCTGTCACAGCCGCTGCCAGCTACAGACGCAGCAAACTATTACCTGTTACCGCTGGAAGCCTCAGGGATACCACCTGGCAGCGTTCTGGTCAACCCACACACAGGTGGGTGATGCCAAGCCTCTGTATTCTTATTGGATAAAATCAGAAATGACTTTTTAAAAAGGATTCCTGTGTCTTCATAAGTGTGGTGATCCAGCCACAGTCTACTGCAAATTAAACGATCCAAAAATACGATCCCCCATCTTGTAATTTGCTGCTTTCCAAATGAAAATTCATAACTTTGGAACAGAATTACAGGTTGGCACGGGCTTGCACTCGGTTTGTCTGTCAAATTAGTAGTCAGACCAAAGCGTGCTGATCAAAATGCAGCGAACAGATGGGAGAAATCTGTAAATATGCATCACGGGCCCAACGCACAGTTGTGTACTTTTTGGTCTCCGAACTGATCTTCAAACGCTGCCAAGGTCGTTATTTCCTGTTGACTCTCCCCTCATGGACCCGTCGGGGTGTGTCCTTCACTGTCATCATTCAAGTTGTTTTTTTTTTTGTTTTTTATCCTCTTTGCATGAAGCTGAATTATTTGAGTGTGAGAAACGCTCGCATCACAGTGGTTTTCGGTCTCTTATGAATTAAATTTGACAGGCAAGCCTTTCATCCATCCTGATGGCAGCGCTGTAGTTTATAACCCAGCCAGCATCGCCCCAGCTGCTGGCAGGATCCAACAGCAGGGGAAACCCCCACAGCAGCCAGTTCCCGCCACAGTGCAGCAACAGCCAACCAATCACCTTCACTCCCAGGTCAGTGGGCGGTATTTTGTTTTTCAGGGATTTTTCTATCATTTAAACCAGTTTCCACGTTTTTCCTAACTGCTTCCTAACCTCGCTAACTCAGAGTGTAGAGATGGGGCTTCACTAAACCATGTCCTAAACTAACAAAACGAAACTTTAACAAACTAAACAGAATATTTATTAGCATGTCCAGCTACATAGTATAGTTCTTATAAAAAGTCTGGCTAATTGCATGTTAGCACATCAACTATGTGTTAGCTACTTTACCCACGTTTGCGATAACTTTAGCATTCAGTGGAGTGTAGCACTATTTGAGCCTGAGCTAATATTGGCTTTGTGTGAGACTGAGCTAGTGTTAGCTTTCAGTAAATCCAACCTATAAAATATATTACAAATATGTGAAGGAACGCTAGTGAGCCCCACCAGTTTACTAACATCCTCCGTCCAATCTTGTCTCCTGTCCTTCTGTCCATTTCTTCCCTTCCCTCCTCAGCCGATCTGTCCTCCTCTCCAGCTGCCCTCTGAGCCTGTCCACAACCCAATGGTCTCTTCTTATCCTCTTCCTCCTCCTCCTCTTCCTCCTTCTCAGTTCCTGCCCGTCTGTCCTAACCAACAATACACTGTGGTACCGAACTTCCTTCTTCCATGTTATTATTCTTCCCCCGCTCCATCTCCTGTCAGACCTGGCTCATTAAGAGCTTATTTATAGGCTTCTTCTCTGAGCAGTTGGATTAGTTCATTAAAATCTGACACAAATGTCCAAAAAGAAAAAAGAATCCACTCGTTTTGGGTTGTGCTAAAGAAGTCCTCTGAGCTCTCCTTAGACCCAGGTCTCCATACTGTATTGATGTGCCTTTTGTATCAGTAATATTGATTCAAATGTATTTATATTTTGGTAGTCTGTGAATTATCTTATTTCATAGAAATAATGAAATTAGCAGATGGAGTTTTGCATCCTCATAGTTCACGTCTTGTCCTTTCTATGCATTACTTTAGAAAAGCAGATCTCAACACGCCTCCGAATAACTATTCTGCTAACTTATGTTGTGGAAAGGTGTATCTAAATCCAGCCAGAGCCATTTACACACATATATAGATCATGCATTCGCTTAACCTCATTTTTGACCTGGTTTTAGTGAAAGACATGCCTCTGTGACTAATTACGCCTGTGGAAAGTTCCATTAATATTTAATTCATCACCAGATGTTAGTGCTGCATAATCCATGCCTAAAAACACTATTTTTCCAACAACATGTCAGAGATGACCTGGGCTGCTGATACTCATGAGGAGTTGGGTCAGTTATATGAGCTGTCTGCATTTAGTTAAAGTGAAAGTCGATATGAGATGTCTTTGATTTAACACTTGGATTAGAAACGCGCTGGTTGAGCTGTATATTGATCTAGATTATAAGCAGAATAAATGTGTTAAATTGTGTGACCTGGCTCTGAGAATCTACTGCTGTCTATTGTTGATTTTAATCTGTGCCTTATTAAAAGTGTTCCCCATAATTATCTCTGCAGCCTGACTCTCTCAACGCCCAGTTTAGCCACATGACTCTGGCGCAGCAGCCAGCCAATGACAGTGGCCCTTCAGCTCCTGACGGTCGCCACTATCCCTCTGTGTACCACCACCACCACCCCTCTGCTGTGGTGCTGCAGGGCGCTCCTCCACAGCAGGTTGCTAGCTACATAGTGGCAGGGCCATCAGGAGGACACCCGGGGGTGCTGCAGGGTCAGCCCATCCCACTCCCAACCCCGGCCCAAAATCACACATATCCCAGCTCCGCCCTGGGTCATGCTGCTTTTCCCGGACCCGCCCTGAACCAGCCACTCCTGCAGCAGCACACCTACATCCAGCAGCCTGTCCAACAGGTACGGACTTCAGCTAACAGCTGCACAGCTAAAATCCCGCCGTCTTGTCCAGAGGCGTCTCAGAATGTGCTAATTTGTCATCATGAGTCACTCCTGCAGTGAAAACCAGCTTTATGACTAATCCTTCATTCCTCCTCCCGCTGTGAAGTCAATTCAAATGGGACCGCTGATGCGTCACGCGCTTGTTGAATTTGTGTTTTGCGTCTCTCGCAGATGTCCTCGTGTTACTGCTCTTCAACCCACCACCCACACTGTTCCAGCACGCAGCAGCAGCAGCACTACCGGCCGCCTGTCAGCACGCTGCCCTATAACTGCCCACAGAGCCAAAACCTGCCCCAGCAACAAGGTACCTACACGGTCATTTTAAAGAGCCGCTGCTACTGCTGACTTTGTGACTGTGGTGTTTTTGGCAACTAATGTAGTAGCAGATTAAACGGGTGAGGGTGGTGACTAACCGACGAATATAAAAGCAATAAATTTATTAAACCCAGTTTCACATGTTAGGTGTCAAATATAAGGCCCGGGGTCTAGAATCAGCCCAGCCGAAGACGATCCAGCCCACTGGATGTCTTTTTAAAGGAGGGTAATTTTTGGACTCTCTTTCACACACTATTATGCTGTTATGTAATCGCTGTCACAAGATTACATTGAGTTTAAAGGGTTTTGAGCAATTTCTTAACACAGTGAACTAATCATCCACTTCAATACCTTTAATTTTGTTACTTTGAAAAATATGACTTGATTTTTTTCACTTTGTTTTTTTTTCCTGTTTCTTTTTAGCGGCGAAAAACATTTTTCTGTCCTTATTATCTTTGACACGCACTGATGTGCTCACAGCCACACGTGGCTCCGTTATAAATTGTCTTCTTTGATTGATAATAAATTCAGATTAAAGTTGCACACTGGGATACCAAACGCCAGCAGTTCCCTCTACTTTTACCTCTACTCTTCTGTGCTGAACCGACAGTACAAATTAGCACAGCTTTGAAAGCGTCGCACAGTGGATCTGAAGGAAATCAAAGGGTGTTTTAATGAATAAGATCCACAGTTTTCCTTGAATTTGAGGCTCCGTGTTGTTAGGAGCAAAGCTCAGCCTAGCTGTTTTGTCATGAGTCATGCTCAATAGACTTTGTTAACTTCTCACTTTGAGCTCTTAGAGAGCATTTTTATGTCAGACGGCTCTGTGAAGGACAAATATTCCTCCCTTCCTTCCCTCTGTTTGTTTGTTTTTACGAGTTCAGATGTCTCCCCGGGAGTCATCACTAGATTATTCAGTTTCTGTTGTCTTTCGTTTTTTCCCTTTTTTTTTCATTTTGCCACAGGAATTGAGATTGTTAGCTCCTGCTTGGTCTTTTTCCTCACCACACACACACACACACACTCTCTCTGTTACTTAACTGGATGTAATGTTGCCCCAGAGTTGTGACTTGTACGATCAGGCACACACGTCTCCATAAGTGGCTGCGGCACTATTCTGTCATCTGTAAGCTGCAAATGTGGCTTCCCTGCTGGGGATGCGGGGAATAGACAGCGAACAAATGGAGCTGACCTACAAAGGCAAAGGACAGCAATTATTTCTCTGGGAAACAAAAAAAAAAAATGACTCCAGCGCCTCGTTGCTCCTTGGTTTTTTGCATTAATTAGAGATGCACACATAGAAGAGCATCTAAAGGTGAAGACGCTGCAGCGTGGGTTGCACACACAATAAATAAGTTATCAATGGAAATTCTCCGACGGCCCAGCCAGTGGCCACAGAGGAACCTGTCAGTGTTTCCACTCAATTGCATCAGACAGTCACCACTACCACAGGGCTTTAGCTTCTTTCTGAGAAAGCATCGTGTAATATATGTGAAAGGACTGAAGTGTTCCTTTTTTTTTCTTCACTGCTGTTAGGAAATTATTAGAAGGCATTGTTATATAAATTGAACATCACTACTAGATAGACAATTGATAAAGCTAATGTCCTCTAAAGATGGTACATATTTTCTTGAAAGAATACAGCTATGATTTGAGTCGTACATCAACCTTTCTTTGGTTTCTGCTGCTCCTTTGAGGATTAGCTGCTCTTGCTCCTACTACAAACTAAATGTCAGGCCTAGAGAGAGAATCTCACTTTGATTGAATATAGTTATATATTCAATCAAAGAGACAGTAATAAAAAATGCTTTAGATCTGAAGCTCAACAGGTTTCAGTTGCAAATAAATAAGCTTTCCTGCACAGCACAGAGCCGCCGTGTGTGTTTAGAATAGGGATGAACTGATGAGAGAAACCAGACCAACAACTTGCTGACAGTCTGACAACTGATGCCAAACCAAATTACATAAAATATAATAGAGCTCTATTTTTAAAACAAATGTGTTCAACATTTCTCCATTCAAACATTTAACCAGTGCAAATCTGAACAAATAAATATTGACTAATTTCATTGGCCTTTTCCCCCCTTGAGTACTGATATACAGTACTGTGCAAAAGTCTTGAGCCAGCTTTCATTTCTTTGTGTTTTACTGGGAAAATCGGATATAGATGTAGCAATTTATGGAAACATAAATGGACAATATATGACAAAAACAGTTTGTGCAATTCTAACAACCTTGTTTGTCAGTACTTGTCAACACAGTCTGAGCTCTCTTAAGGAAGCTTTCTTCTTATGAAAGTAGTCCCGGCTTCATTCTGTTCACGGTCGAGAGGATCCCACGCAGTTTTAGTAAAGCTGAGGTCTGGGGAGGCCAATCCATGACTGTTAGTGATGCATTTTCTGTGCCTTCAATTGATATTGCATGTGCAGTCAAAATCTGACTGTACTTTCATAGTTCCATACATTTTAATAAAATGGACGTCTTATAAAAAGCCTCTGGCTGAAATGTAGCCCCAAACCATGTATCAGGAATGCACTGAAAATGGGTGAAAAAGCAGTTAGTCATTCACTCCTTTAAAGGTCGATGTAAAGAAATTAAGACTTTTTGTAGCATGCATCTCATGTTACTTGCATTAATAGCTGCGTGAGTGTCCAAGTGTCCCTCTTATCGATAGCTGCAATCAGTTAACAGGAACATATTGTCAGAAGCTCCTTTAAAGGGAGAATTTCAAGCATCATTTCAAGTCCTTACACCTTTTTATATGTGAGCCTTTTTCCTTTTCCCCTGATGTAACATAAGCAAACTGTCTGAACAGGGGATCCCCTGTGACCAAGCCACACGCAGAGTGGAACAATCTACTGTGTTCAAATCAAGCAGGCAGCTTTCACTGGTCTACAGTTCTCTTGGAGTACAAGCAATTTCAGGTGACACATTTACCAGTCAGGGTTTTTCTTGCAGTGATGATGGTGCAGTCTAAGGCTCGCAGTATAATGGCGGAAAAGTCTTGCTGCCAGCCTGCTTGTTAGTTTATGGAAATGGAAACATGAAAGTTTAATGACAGACGGCTCGAGAACATCAGTGACTCTCAGAGGTTAAAACCTCAGTACTTTCAATTCATCTTAAGGTTAATATAACTGATCACCTGTGTGTTTTTCATGGAAGGAGTAGGAGTATATTTTGAGGTTTCTAGAGGTCCTTCTCCTCAGTTCCGTATGATTTGTGACAAAGAAAGAAGAATCTGGAGCCTGAGAGACGGGATGCGGGGCCGGGACGCTGTCTGAGAGGCCTCTATGAATCTCACAGTGAACCGGTCTCTTTTCCAGCCCTCTCACCTTGTCGTCGCTAGACTGTGCGAGCACCTTAGCAGAGGACAGCTTTTAAAACGAAATCTGGGAATCCAGATTCTTCTTTGAGGAAGAACTCTACAGAGTAGAAACTTCTCCTCCCTCATGACTTTAATCCTGAAAGCCGAACAAGACCGTCAGGATGGTCAGCCACGCCTGCACAACAATCAGGACAGTCGGTCATTATCTGCGTCTGATGGAAGGAAAGAAGTCAGAACCGTCCCCTCGTCGCTCCCTGCTGGAATGGAATAAAAATCGGGTGCTTTTGATATTACGGTCATTTCATGCTTGGTTTGTAAGTGAAGGTGGGAGGCGAGGGAGGATAAAAATAGTCCTCCTGCTCCGCTCCTCGCCGAGCGCTCTCATTGTCTCGTCGTACTTTTCTCCCAGGGCGGCAGACTGTAAAGACACCTTCACAAAAGGACATCCTCTCCTTAGTCACTCAGATTACTTTGCATGAGTGTCACAAGGGACGGTATTTGTCTTTTTGTCACCTTGACATTTAAGTGTCCGAGTCTCCTCCACCCCCACACACACACAGCCTCGGGTTAGGTGCAGGCATCGCCATTTTAGGGCGTTTGGAGAATCGTCGGACCTGCCTGCGTGACTTTGTGTCATCTCTTGTGTGTCCTTGTATTTGGCCCTCTCTAAATTTTAAAAACAAAAAGGTATCGTAGGAAGGAGAAATCTCATTAAAGTGACAGTGTTTTTGTAATTTACCTTCATCAGACGAGTGTCTCGTCTACTCAAGTTGCAGGTTTAGGCCACTGCAGGCTAAATCAGATATATTGACTTTCTCATTTATTCCAGACCTGCTTTAGCTTTAACAGCTCAACTCCCCAAACACTCTTCTATTGTTCTCAGCTTGATGGAGGTTCTGTGCTCATTGTTGGGATTGTTTTAAGAAGCAAATACCCTTTGAAAATCAATAAAGTGTTGAACAGTTGTCTTGTGAAATCGTGATAGCCTCGGCTTTTTTCCCTGAGTGTCCTCTCCTGCCGCGCTACACCGAAATCACGACTCCTTAATTGCACTTTTGGCGGTTTGTTATCGCAGCGTATCCATCAGGGGTCTCTTTTCATTCGGTCACAGCATTGTGCCTTTTCTCATTTTGCCTCAGTGCACCAAGCCGTGATGCCAAACCCAGCGTCCAGCTACCAGACAGTAGTGGGCGTGCAGCCAACACCCAACCTCGCTCTCACTGGCAACCAGCAAAGCAATATGGGCAACCAGATGCAAGGCATGATGGTCCAGTACCCTCCAATGCAGTCTTATCAGGTACTTTGATGATGGGACGCCTCCGTGAGCTCCCCCAGCTAGATTAATAAGAGCACTGTTATGAATGAAACGTGTCTCGCTCGAGGCCTTTTGTTGGTCTTTATTTGACATTAGGAAATGCAAAAACATGGCTCTGAGTTTTAAAATGTCTGCTAAAGAAAGAACAGTGAACATGTTGAGACTATTTTTCTTTCTTTTTCCCCCTGTAGCAGGTTTCTGTTCCACAGCAGACGTACCAGCAGCCAGTGTTTGTGTCCTGCCAGCCGGGACAGGGGGCAATGGCTGTCGCTGGCATGCAGCCCTGCTACAGCCTGCTGCCTCCTAACCAGCACACCACCATGAGGTACGGATCTACATCTGTGACATCCTGCACACTATTGTTTCAAACACAATGAACTTTCTTTTTCCCCCTCATTGTGTAAAACTAAGAATGCGGCCATAATATTGATAATAATAGTTATCATCTTAAACGTATGTGTCAGTGTCGACCCAGAATTTCTCCGATGGTGAAAGGATGTGATCAGGTAGCAGCAGCTCAGAGGTCGACTAAAATAGTCTTTTGTGTCCATACAGGACCCGTATTAAACCTTTTCATTTGCTTGTCTGTTCATTATGGATCTAAAAAGAATACATAATGATTTCTACTTTAGCTCGTGCACTACTGGTTTTTCAAAAAAAGGATATTTGATGCTGGTATTGAGTCCCTGGACACTAATTAGTCGGGGGCTTTTTTCCTATGACAAATTTTCCCAATCTTTTCTTTTTAATGAATATGTACAGACACAGTTTTGCCAAAACACGCAGCGTGGGATTTGTCCTCCCACCCCTCCTTGGGAAAAGGCTGAGGTTGAAATTCTTTTATCCAAATCATGGGCGATCATCTGTTTCAGTTTCTCGGAAAATAAATTTAGCTTTTTATATTAAAGGAGATTTTGGAAGTCACCATCTTGGTTTCCTTTTTAAGCTCGCGTGCTAGGCGTTTCTCAAATCAGATACAGCTCAGCAGGAGAGCAGCTGTTAGTCACATTCTCATTTTGAACAGCTTACCCGTCGGGCATCCGATGCTGGGATGCGACGCGATCCCTCATATGAAATAAATAAATAAAATCCTGCGGTCACGTATTGTTGGATTTTGGGGTAAAGGGAGTATTAATGGATTGGATTTATATAGCGCTTTTCAAGGCACCCAAAGCGCTTTACAATAACACTATTCATTCACTCTCGTACTAACAGAACATCAGCTCACTGCTGCTCTCAGGTGGACAAACGTCACAGTGCTGATTTGAAATGACGTGTTTAACTGCACTGGAAATAAACTTTCCAAGTATTTGTATGAACACCGATACTCTTCACATGTAGGGGTGTGTGTAACTGCTTCAAAGCCACAAAGTTTACATTGATAAATAATTAGTATCAAGGTGAAGTTGTAATTATTAGCTGAATGTTTACACTGATAACAAAGTGCCTCTGATTTATGTTCATCCCGTCCTAATGACGCGTTTTAAATCGAAGTTGTTAATCAGATTTAGATGGAAGAAATTAGCCCGACTGTAGATGTTCTTTGTCCCAGAAAACAAACGATTTGCCAGGTGCTTGAAGGTGCCTCTTATTTCTAGACCAAACGGGGTTGATGAGTGAATCCCCAAAGCGCCTCTGAGCCAAGGTCATTTTTGTTCACTGTGGAGGGAAAGAAAAAAAAGAAGTTATTACCACCATCCTTTTGGCGAACTGGGTCTGCGTGCAGCTGATGAATGTCGACTCTGACGCCGCCTCCAAGAGGTTTTGCCATTTTCCTGTCATTACTCGGCTGCTGCGGAGTAGTGTGGAGCCTCTCATTATAGCTGATTGATAGAACTAGCTCACAGAAAGCAAAACATGTAATTAGTTTCTACCTCCGTGGGCCCAATCAATCTGGATACTGGCGAGAGGAGCACCACTGGGACTCCGTATACGTAACAAACAGCAGAGACAAGCGCGGCCATGTACGCAGTCGTCACCAGCAAAAGAACAATGCAGAGATGCACGCGTGTGAGGAGAGGTCACTTTCTCATCGTCCCAGCTGTAAAATGAGGCTGCTTTAGTAGGGCAGTCAGTGCGGGAATGATTTATGTGGCAGTGTTGGAACGGCTCAGTCTGCTCCCACGAGGACCGACCGTCCACCTGCAGCCCGCTTTTTCACCAGCTGGAGACGAGTCCCTGCAGGCAGGTTGCTTACAGAGCAGAGCGCCTACTTTCCAGTTTCTGGTTGTTTTTTTTTTTCTTTAATAAATACTCCCACCTCAGATCTCCTCAAGGTGTACGTCTGTGTAGGCTTAGAGGTGGTTTTTAAACTTTCTCTAAACTCAACTCCTGGGCGTCCGCAGCGTAGTGGACTTCCAGTAACCATTCATTGATGATTTGATAAACTAAAACGCTAACAGACTTTATCCCGTGTCACCTTCTGGTTTATTCACTCATACTTGGAGCTTGAATTATTTTAAGTGTGGTCATTGGATCATAAACATTTCATATTTCACTCACTCGCCAAAATCCGCTCACATTTTAAAATAGTTTTACTCTCCAGAAATGTATGATTTTGAACATCCCCGTGTGTGTTTTCATCCTCAGTTCAACAGTGAGTTTCCTGCCCACACCGATGATGGAGCAGCTCCAGTTTCCTCAGACCTCGTCCCCCTGCGTCTCCCAGCAGCACCCGGGCCAGCAGTACGCAGGTACCCTCCTCTCTGAGGCTGGCATGCAGCCTGTTCACAGGTCCAGATAGAAACACACGGTGATCTACAGTAGCATCACGCAGTAAAGCGAGAATATTCGCTTTTTTCTGACATTAGCTGCCCTGGAGATTCCCCATCGCTGCCAGCGCTCTGACATTCTTTATTTTGCTCATCTTTCAGTGTCAATAACCGCAGACCGGATTCCTCTGTAGCCACAGCCTGCGCTTCATAATGAAATAATCTTCCCTGAGTTTACTTTACCTTTGTATGTGCGGCAGATGCATGATTAGATTTACACTCTGGATTTTTGAAATGAAAAAGCGCGAGGCCCTGTGATGGGAGGTCCCTGGAGTTTGAATAAGTAAAAGTGATTTCCTCACGTCCCTCTTCCTCCAGAGCTGGATGGAGATTAAACAGTGATTAGGTCGACCACTGCAAATGTTAAGGTGACATCAACGACTGCATTGAGACAAAAAAAAGAAAACAATAAAGTAAGAAATGAATGATGTCATGACTCATCAGAAGAAGTTGTTGGTATTGCCGTTGCGGTGCTCCAGTGGTTATAGAGGGTCTCTAGCATCTTATTTCCCAGTTGGTCCTACTCGTAATGATAACTCTTTATTTTTTTCATATTCAGGCTTTGGTAATATTACTCTTTAATATTTTGCTTCATAACCCACTTCTCAAACCTATAGAACTTCTGTCATTTAACTTTCAAAGTATTTCCCGTTCAATCAAACACACAGATGTGTCTGTATAAACTGATGATGGTAGACGGCGTAGCCCGTCTCGTAAGAAAATGTGGTCGATATTTATCCGATTTTATACCAGCGCTCACAAGGGTCTATTTTTTAATAAACCCAACATAAATATTGATTGATTTTTTTTGTTTTTTTTTTATTTGCCATATTTTTCTACAGAGGTACGTTGTTCACGTTGTAAAAATGTATTTCCCAATGTATTTTTTGACAGTCTTGAAGCGGGACTGTTGGTTTCATTGTGCGATTCAGTACAGAAGAAGATTGGAGTATTTACTAAATGTTCCACCTTTTATGCCTTTGAAATGAAGTGAGGATGAAAGCTAATGTGTTTGTCGAGTGCTTTAGCTGCAACTCTGCTAATCAACTACGGTTATCTTCAAGGTTCAGGGGTGTTTACACAGGAAGCGATTCGCTGATCATGCACCGCTTTGATAGTTGGTTGCTAGCGGACATTCCAGACTCCGGTTGCCTCGGTAACCCTCTAATGTATTTACCACCAGTGATATGGCTCTCTTGGTGGTAGTTGCATTTGAAGAAAGCTTTGCTCAAAATCCACCTATGTGGCCCAATGTCACTTAAAGTTGCTGTGAACCCTGGTTGTCACGCCCCCAGCAGCCTAGATTCATTGCGCCGTACCTAAGGGAGGATTCAGGGTCACCTGTTCCAAACCTAACTATATGCTTTTGGAAAAAATGAATCATTTAAGCCTGATCTATAAGCAGAGAGGGTTTCTGTCTCCTGAATCCAAACTGGTTCCACAGAAGAGCGACATGAAAGCTGAAGGCTCTGCCTCCCATTCTACTTCTAAAAACCCTGGGAATTTGTCTCCCAGTTTACCGTAGCACATTAAAAGGTAAATAAAGATAAAATGGACTCGTGCCTTACAAAGCTACAATAACGCATTTTTTCATTTCTCTTTTCCGTCTCTTTGGACATGAATTGCTGTCCAGAGGCCCAGGTGGGGCAGTCTCCTTACTAATGACCTTTATTATTCATGTCTGATTATTATGGGAGCACAGTGGAGGGGGAGCCATCATTTCTAGCTCTTCCAGTAATGAGGTCGGATGAAGGTCTCACGACGGCCTTACCTACAGCGTGACCAGTAAACACTTTTAATTGGCTAGGCCGGGGCCAGAAATAATCTACAAATTAAGTCCAAATACCCATCGTCCTTGCTAGTGTTACGAGGTTTTATTTCCTAAATGGACACCAGCATCAGCTGTGCAAAGTTTGTGTATGATTTGCGCCTCATATGAGCTTCATGTAAACAGAAGTTAATTAGATGGAGGTATAATGTATGTTCGGGGCACTGATTTATCTTATTAATTTTTTTTGTTTTGTTTTAAAAGTCATGTTCATGTGCCACAAAATAATTACATAATTGGATTTCCTGGATCATTGCAGAGGATTTAGCAGGAATAGGGAATGGACTCTCTGATTGCCAATTCCAATGTGCCCTTATAGTCGAGGCTCTAAGACGTAATTGCTGAGAGGCTAACGGTGTAGGAGCAGTGTTTTCCCTGATGAGGTGTGTAGCTGAACAAAAGTGCTGAAACGCAGCTTTGGGGCAAAAACACATTTACTTTGGTGCATAAATGATGAGCTGATGTGACGAATTAAATAAGTGGATTTTTTTTTTGATTTTTTTCTGCTGACCTGATTTGCCTCTTGCCGACACAAACACTGCTTCAACCTTTCCATTTCTGTCTGCTTGCAGGGTTGTTACCCCCGGCCCCCAGCAGCGGCATGGTGATGCTGCAAATGACAGCAGCCCCCTGCCAGCAGCCCCGGGCCCCCTCCCCCTGCCAGAGGAAACCACTCAGCCACAAACACTTGGGCCCCGAGCACCAACGCAACCGCAGGCCCGCCGAGCTCCCTCCGCTTCCGGACAACACCCAGGTACAAACGCTGCCCAGGCGCATCCATCAGGCAATCACAGAAGAACAGCGGTGCCTTTCAGACCGTAGTTTCTCCTTTGAAACCATTTAATTAGCTCGGCGACCCAGAGGTTTTCATTTGACGGGAGCAACTTCCAAATAATTTTGAATTCAGTTGTAAATTTGTTCAGCTGATGTTTTCTACATAGGACCATACTTTACGTGTCAGAAAGTTAAGACGGTCACAAGAAAGCAATTTGAAAGCCAATTTAGTTTGTTTGTACGCGTCTGACAGTTGCGTGAGAATTGTCGCCTTGAGCCAGACTCAGCTTGCCTGCTGTTCCAGGCAGGTTAAATGTCGTAGTAAATAGGCTCTGCAAATGAAGTGAGTGCTGCCGAAACCTGAAAATGAGGAGAAAATAGTCCTCGGCATTAGGGTGTAATGGTACATTAGTGGGACTAATGTGGATAGAATGGAACATTAAAGCAATGACTTGAACCACAGAATGACTTTGTGAAAGGAAGAAATGGCCACAGTTGCTTTTTTCTTTTTCTTTTTTTTGAATGAAAGTGTTTGTGTTTCCTCCCGGTTTCCCCTCTCTGCATCATCGGTGTGTTGTATGTAGAGCAGCCTGCCCTCGTCTCCGGCACTCACTCCCTCGCCAGGCCAGCCGCCCAGCGTCAAGGGCCTCCCAACAGGCATCTCACCCATCCCTGTCATGGCCCACCACCCGCAGCTCCCTACAGCCTTCTGCCACAGTGGACAAGGTCAGAGACGCGCAGTAGTATTGCAGTACATGCTTACAAACATGGCATCCTCAAAACTCAGTGACTGTGCAGTTCAATGGCGCACGAATGCATTCAACATAAAAAAATGTACAGTTGAAGCATCTCTTATCTGGATGAATGAAACCACCTTCCATATTCACAAGCCTTTGCTTATGTACTGATATTCCTGAGGTTTTAAGATTGGAGTGAAGAGCATGATCATGTGTTTTAAACTAATCCTGCTGAGGGGCATCATTTCCTGATGCTAAATGAAGGAGTCAGTGCATTGGAGAACACTTGAGGGTCTGTGCAGCAACTTTAAATACAACAGTAACTTCAGCTGTGCTTGTAAAAGATGTCTAACCTAAGATTTAACATTAAGGGACAAATTGCACTAAATTGCTTGAAAAGCATGCTGCAAAGTAGTTTAAGCAGTAGCTAACTTCCCAACTTCCTGCTTGCCATGAACAATGTTAAAGCGTGCGTGTTTTTAAACAGGTTCTAGCACACAGGATTCAATAAATGTCATATATCATTTGTTTAAACTGGCAGCTATACTTGGAGTTTATATTTTAATCATTGATTGTCGAGTACTTTAGTTAGCTACTGTCTATGTAGCTGCAGTTAGGTTCTAAAGCGATTTAAATGACTGCAAACTGATATTTGAAAAGGTTGTTTTGACTCTGATTACCAGGTGAAGCGCACTACTCTTTACTGGGCCAGCCTTTGCAGTACAAACCCTCCATCAGACCTCCGTTTATCCACACTGCACACATGATGGCCAAACATCAGGTAGTACTGGTTTTCCACTTTTGACTTCTTTTTCCTTGTCCTGCCGCCCACAAGCACACCTACCTTACTGGCATCTTCTGTCTCCTCAGGTTCCTCTGGGGGTTTGGCGTGGCAGTCATGGGAGGAAGGCCGGCAGAAAATCAGTCTCTTCAGATCTCAGTGTAGGTGAAGCAGGTAATAGGAAGACCAGAGGGAGGCTTAAGCTTAGTGAACCTCGAGTTAGCGGCAGGTTCTGACCGAGATTTGACCTCTTCAACACAGAAGAAGCTCCAAATCCTAGTCCAGAATATTATGTAGTGTTTTGGGTTTTTTTCTTTTCAAATTCAGGCCAGCAGTTTGTAAAAACACGCACGCTGGCTGGAATGTCAGCCTTTAGGTGTTTATCAGAAACTCGTGCTGAGATTCATCACCAGATAAATCCAGCTGCTGTGTAGTCTCTTTGCCAGATTAAGTGGAGTAACATCACCTTTTTTATTCTGTCAAAATCTGCTTGCTGTGCTCCGTATCTGTGGAGAAAGCGTCTGTTTGTGAATGTAAGCAGAAATAATTTCCAGACGGGGCAGAAATCACACCTGGCAGTGGAACCTGCAGTCCTGGCAGTATTAACACTGACACAAATGTGCTGATTATTTCAAATATCACGCTGTATTTTTTGCAGGTGCTGAGATTTTTTTTTCCCCTTCATTATTCAGGCGCCTTAGTCAACAATCCCACTAGGGGCAATCAACAAGGACTGGGGCTCATACGCAGCTTCTTTTACAGAGGAATGAAGACTGAGAGATGGACCTTTTCTTTTTAAAGAAAATGTAAAAAAAAATCCAGTAAATTATAACCAGACGCATAGATCTGTTTGTCCTTCCAACTCAAAGATTTAAAGCTGACAGCAGCATTTTATTTGAAGCCTCCCGATGGTGCAGGTCTGATGTTGTTGTCGTTTTTTTGTTTGTTTCCCCCCCTCTGCTCACCCATGACAGTTGTTTTATTTATTGGCTCCACTGCTCACAGCGCTGTCTGTCTGTGTGCGTCTGCAGTGAGCAGTCAGATTCTGGACGTGACACATCCTCCGGAGGGGATCAGCTGTACAGACTCCCACCACCTCCTGGCAGAGATGTACAAAGGGGGCGAATCGATCCGCCGGCTGTCGGACCAGCAGCCACGGTTGTGCAACTCGACCCGAGGCGCTCCCGGCAGAGACCTGGCCTCGTCGCGCCCTATCTTTGCCATGCTCCCCTCCAGACACACCACGCCGAGCGCCGTGTTCCGCCCCACAGGCCCCCGAGCCGCCTTTAAACTCAGAACCGGCAGCGGACACAAAGGGGAGCTGTGCGACTCAGACAGGACTGGCTCATAGCTGCTAAGATCTCAGAGCGGCACACATGGAACGCACATCCAACCACCTGCCTCTGCTGCCTCAGTCTGGACTGTCTCCCAGACGCTGTCCAAATCGAAACATCAAATGTCTGAAGAATGAATGTTCATTTTTATTTCGTTTTAGTTTCTTTTAGCTTTATTCCCTTTTTTTCGGCCAACAGGTCTGTGCAGGGTGGAAACCGAGCACCAGTTTGTAACATTTGTCCGTAGCTGCAGAGCTCCGCTCAGCGCCCCACTTCTATTCTTAAACTCGAGTTTGCTGTTCTGAAGTCAAAGTGTTTGGAGACTTTTGGGGTTTGTTTGCCAGCTATCGCATTAGTGTGTCTACTGCGGCTGTTTTAATACCAAATTTATTTATTTTTTCTTGCCACTTTTTGAAAATTAGATGATATAATTATGTTTAAATTGAACTGAATGTGTCACGTTGGGTGTTTAAAGGTTCTAGAACGGCACGTAGCAGCATTTGTAGAAGAAACACTGAATCACAGATAAACTACCTGAATTATTTAAAGTCACCATTAAACACCGTGAATGTTGCATTTGCACTGAAGTGATGATCAGAGGTGGAGATTTGACTGGTATCGGACAGAGCCTGGGTTTTTCTTTTATTAACCCTTAATACCTGTTTGTTTGCACTCGACCAGGCCACTTTGTTTTATATATTAAAATGTTTATATGCACAAGAATAATACAATCGAGTTTGTCACTACTTGGCTTAATTTGTTTGGATTTCTGTTTGTGTGACTCATGAGAGGTGTTCTGTGTATGGCGTGGCTTTTCTTCTTCTTTTCTTTCATTTTTTAAAAATTAGATTCTAATAAATGTTTGCACCACAAGTGTTGACTTTTTCCACTAGTTAGCTGCAGTCAGCAATTTCAAGGTCTAATTGAAATGTTTCCTTGGGAGCAAGATGTCGCTTCGGTATGGGAGAGAAGAGCAACAGATGAGGCAACTCTGTGGAAGATGTTGCCATGAGGTTTGTATCTGTGCCTTTTGGGCACTGCGGAGATGTTTGCTCTGCTCTGCAGCCTCATTTCCAGCTGCATAAATGAGCCATTTTGAACGAACGCTCCTCTCAGCCTGGGATGTAGTGAAACAGAGACACCTAGTGGGCAAAGTTCGTTACTGCATTATGAACACTATGGAATTAACGAGTGAAAGTGAAACTAACAGAAAACTGGTTTAGTGGTTACATATTAATGACAGGCGTGTTTAGTGTGGCCTAAAAACGCGGGAGTATCTAACCGTTATGTCGACGCTTCAGTGCTAATGTAGCATAACAAAACGGTAATGGAGACCGACTCCTGGGAGAACAGCAGGACGGTGGTTGTCTCCGGTGTTCCCAATGTGTTGCCCCCCGGCAGGATAACTGATAAGCTGACCATTCACTTCCAAAGCACCCGGAAGAGTGATGGAGGAGACGTCGAAAAGGTCAAATATCCCACCAACATGGACGGAGTTGCGTTTGTCACTTTTGAAAACGAAGAAGGTAAATTAGCAGGTGGTGGCTAAAGGCAGGCTATAGGCTAACATGTCGCTACTGATAGTGTGTAAAGCTGTGCGTCCTTCAATAAATACATTAATGACAACAAGCAGTTTTTGAGGGTGTCCCCTTCCAACCAACAAAAGCTAATCTGCTTATGAGCAGTTCTTCCAGCGCTCAGTGAGTTAAATGAAGTTGCCCAAAAAGCTGCGCTAAAAAGTTGTCCACTCTTCGCTAATTTAAGCTAAATGTTACTGCAATACTTCAAATTTTGATTTCAGTCCGTTTCCAAGTAAACCCATGCAGGGCCAGTATCGCCGACACTTTCAGCCTATACAGGCTGTATGATGATTTATGAGATGACTCATCAGTTTGTAAACAATGAACACTTTTTAATGACCGCTTACTGTGATTTTTACTTTTCACAATAAGTCACCGCATGTAAATGTGCCTGTCTCTGAAGCACTTTAGATTCGGCCCAACTCTTCAAAAAATAGAAAAAGAAAAGAAAAGCAGTCTGTTTTCTTCAATTTATGATTTTTGTGTTCACAGTTCTAAAATAAAAAACAGTGTAGCAAACAACATCTTAAAACTTCATAGTGTTGTGACAACACTCATGTATACAGATATTTTACTACAATAAAGGCCTAAAAACAACGTACAGTTGAATCTGTATGTACTGTCTTCTATCAAAATATGAAGTTTATTTCAGTTCAGACACATTATCATTGCTGCATAACATACAGCCTGCTGTTTAACTCTAAAGCTGGGTGTATTGTTTATTGTACAATGGGATTATTAGAAATTAAAATAGTGCTCCCTGATTGGTGCAGTGTTCCAGTTACCTTAGTCAGACAATACAGTCTGCTTTATGAGTTTGAACATATTCTGTTTTTTTTTAAATAGGAGACATATTTCCGGAGCTCTGTGAATGTAATAATAAATGACAGACACAAACTAAGGCCACCTTATCCATGTGGAATTGCAAATACCTAAAGGGCTTACACAAACTGTTTCGTCATTGTCAAACATATCTGCTATTTTTCACTATAATTGGTACCCACGGGAACCAATTTCAGTTTCCCCTGAGAACCACTTTTACATTATGCTGAGTGGAAAGGGTAATGTATGAATGAAACATTTGATTTTTGTATGATCTGCAGCTTGGATGTGTGCCTAACTAATGAATGGATTAATCTGATATTATCAAAGTGATGTACTGTTATATAAAAGCTAACATTAGACTGGTAGATAATGAGTCGAGTCAAGCTCTGTGCACTCTGAGTGACAAAAAAAAGTGTGCTAGCTTTGTAGGTTCATGAGGCATCATTATAACAGTGACCTGGGTAGAGACCACAGCAGAACTGTGCTAACTTTTGGCAGATGCAGCGAGGGTGGTGGAAAAGAAGCAGCATATTATGACAGACAGCCAGTTTCCTGAAGACTTCGTCCTCACTGTGTTTCCCTTCAGCACAGATGTAAGTATCGGTGTGATTTTAAAACACCATGCCTACTTAAGTCACTTGCTTTTGACAAGCTTTTGATTGCAAAATAAAAGTTTCTAATTCAAGCACGTTTCTGTGGTGCAGGTGTTTTTCTACGTCCCAAGCGCTACGGTTGATCTTTCTATATTCGGCGGAAATCGGGACTTGGTGATTGAGAGCCTGCGGTCAGCTCACAGATCGCTGCGTTTTCGTCCTGTGCCCCAGGAGAGGAAAGTCTTCATTGAGGGGCCTTTTGCAGCTGTCCAAGCCCTAAAAGGGGACCTCATTCGCAGAGCCGATGAGCTTCAATCTGCAGGCCTAGTCCAAACTGCTGGTATTAACCCAAGAGAAACTGGTCATAATACGAGGTTAATATCTCATCACAAGTATGTCGACTCTGTAAGCCACAGCAGCTCTAAGAGGGAACCCGCAAGCAGCTTATCAACATTATCAACACAGAGCCCAGGTAAGGCAAATGAAATCCAAAGACATCTCTCAAAGACTCAAAATACCTCCTTGAGGCAAAAAGTTTCCTCTGAGAGTTTGGCTCCAGGGAGGATTTTGAAAGCACGCATCAATGGAAAGGACAAACTGGAAGGTCAGCCAACAGAACAAAGAAAGGCCAACCACATACAAGTGGTCGAGAAGGAAATCAAAGCATCTTCCTTATCGGGCCTTCCTCAACCAGTATATCGCAATATCAACAACAGAGCCTTATAATGACAGTGCCTCACAAAAACATCCCAGAGCAGGCAAGATTTCAGCCACAGAGATTAGAAGAGAGGGTGATTTGGGGTCTCACCAGAGCAGCATGGGCTGTTTGAAGAATCCAAGCAGCTCAGCAGTGAGAAGTAAGCTCCAGACTGAATTTAAAGATGTCTCAAAAACCTTGGAGAGATATACTGAAGGTCCCGCAGTGGCGTGTGGAGTCTCTCCGGAAGGTCAGGATGATATCTGGGTTGACTCTTACATATTCAGATACATCAAAACATTTCACAAGAAGGAGTTGGGCAGATGCTTTGCGGGCACTGACTTATCTGTCAGGTATGTTGTAGAAACTGACCTCATGCAAATATCGTTGACTGAGCAGCAACGTTCCAAGGTGACCTCAGGAGTCCAGAAAGCCATCCAGAAACTGAAAACTTTGTTTGAGTTTTAGCAATCAATCTTAAGAGTTCATAAGATATTTTACCATGAGGTGGGGCTGTCGGATAAATACCTAATAAATCAGATCTGTGGTGTTTTCAGTTTCCAGTTTGAAGATGTTCTTTACATATTTGAGGACTCCTGCATTAAAGCCATCAGCCCCTCAGTCCCTAGTCTGCTGTTCAATAAGAAAATAAAAGAAGGAATAATTAAATTCAAAGACACTCTTGTAAATTTCAGGCAATCTAGTAGGAATCATGAACGGATGTAGTTTAATCACTGACCACAAGGGGGAGTAGTTTTCTCTTCGCAAACCCTCCCCAACACTGAAATCTATATTTATCTTGTTATTGTTACAGATGCACTGATTGTTGTTTGATACTGACACTGTGAGTTTTCATTTGAGCAGCTAATGATTAGAACTATAGAAAGAAATTATACAGTACTGATGCGATATTTATTCAGTACTGTATAATTTGTGTTTTTGCTTTTTCTCTCTGTTTCTATGGTGAAGCTTCCCCTTTGTTTATGGATGGGTTAATAATTAAGCCTTTAAACAGCAATCCAGACTCTCTTCTCATAGCAGTGGGGATAAGTCTTAGTTACCCCTCTTCACATCTTAATTAAAGACAAAACATAGACAAACATCGACAGATGTCAGCCTGTCTCACATGACCAAATCATTTAGTCACATATTATGTGAAATTAAATTAAAACAAAACTGATTTGTCTGTGTGGATTTTCTTGATGATTATTAAGTTTTTTATTATTAGCATTTTTAAGCATTATTAGTATTTGAGAATTTACTACAGTGACATCTGTTCTACATTTCTTTGTCTTTAGGATTTTACTACTTCGTGTCCATGAACCCTCGTTTTACTGGAATGCAAGGCCTGCATTGGGCAGCAGGGGGCGGTAGAGTACTTTCATCTATACTGTGGGCTGTGTATAAATAGAGACACTGTAGCTGCCATGACTCGCCTCAATAAAGCAATTATGGAGGCTGGGTTTGGCGAGCAGGGTGCAGATTGGCAGGCGAATGATATCAGTTGGATGTCCCATTATACATTGTCTCCCGTCCACACACATACAGAGTGTTACAACACAGTGTTGCACCTTTTCCAAGGAAGTACGCATTACATGTTATGTGTAGAAGGTTTTTTGTTTCTTTTTTTGGTTTGCAATTATTCAGACGAGCTTGCTGCACAGCCTCAATAATTGATTCATTATGTAAAAATAAGCCACATCACCGTAATAAACACACACAAACACAATCAGTCATCTCCCAGACGCACTCACTCTTACTTGTTACCATAGAAACGTAGTGGAAGAGGTTGGCAAGCTGCAACGTTGGGCGTCGTTAAGGGAAGCTCTTGAATACAATGAAAACAACCATGCGGGCGAAGGAATTACATTTCCAACAAAAGAACCCTTCATCAAAGACGAGCAGAAGAGAGGCCACCGCCTGGTAACACCCAGACCTCTCTCCTACCCCTCTGATAGCACATCTTGAACAATTAGCCATCATTGGGGTGGGGGCTGGAGTTATTGTGGTAGAACAGAATGAGTCAACAAGCAGACGGCATGAATTATTTTTCCTGAAATGGTTCCGACTCTGGCCTTTCATCGCACCCACCCTCCTCATTATGCATAAAGTGTAATTAGGTACCAGCATTTTTGAATATATTAAGCATGTGTGACTTTCATGATGGAGGTCAGAAACAGTAGCAGGCCAAAAAAGGAAGCATTAGTGGAAATCTCAAGGACGTTTGCATCAGGAACGAGGTCTTCTGGGCTTCAAACCTGTAATTGGGCCTCTGAACCCTGTGCCTCTGATGAATGTTATTGTTCACACTTCACATTAGAAAATGACTCAAACCACTACAAACACTGACTGCAAATATATGCAGAATGACCACAAAGCAACCACAAAACAACAACAAACAGACAAAGTGACTATAAAGATAACAACTTCAAGAACAAACCAAGTGACGGACAAAATTACAAAGACAGTTACTACAAAAAGAACAAATAAACTACAAAAGGTTGGAAATCAATTTTTAAATAAGCATAATGATCAGAAAAACTAAAGGAACAAGCAAAGTTACTGGAAAGATCAAACGAAACAAAATTGTAGAAATTACAAAGGCATTCACATTGACTAAAAACAAGCAAAGAGCAAAAAAAAAAAAAAACCACTACAAAGGGCATGCAAAATGGGATCCAAAACAACAGAATAACTAACTCAATTATATACAAATATACAAAGTTACTACAAAATGAAACAAAACAAATAACCATTCTGATCTAATTATTTGGTTACAAAGAGGCAAAAGATCAGAAAATTAAAAAAGCGTAAAAGTAGCAGAAGACAGAATTATAGAAAACTACAAAGGCTCAAACAACTACAACAAAAGCAAAATTACTGGAAAGAATGGAAAACACAAACACACAAAATGACTTCAAGAGGACCCAAACAACTGCAAATTGATACGAAATGAAACTCGAAATTATGCAAAAAACAAACAAATAAAACAAGTGAAAGTGTCTAAAAAGGGGGGAAAGGTAATAAAACAACAACAAAAACCTACAAATTACAAAATAAAAACAAATTACTACAAAGAGGTACAAAATGACTACAAAACGAAAATAAAATTATACAAAAGAACTACAAGCACATACCACCAGAGATGGGCAGTAACATGTTAAAGTAATCTGTTACTGTAATCCAATTACTTTAATTCAAGTAACGAGTAAAGTAAGGGATTACTATTGCAAAAAAAGTAATTAGATTACTGTTACTTTCCCGTAAGCACACTACATTACAGTGTTACTAAACCGTCGTGATTTTGTTTGTGAGTGTCTCATGACAATAACGTACGAGTGTGCGACGCCCGTGGAGGCAACAGATGTGTGCAGATCAACAATGGATAAAACGAAGTGTGGGAGCGAGTACGACCATGCAGCATTTAAAGCATGGACGTACTGACCTTACTGAGTTTGATTACATAAAAAGTGACAAAAACATTAGCGTTCACTGTACACTCTGCGTGGGAAGAAAACTTCTTTGTACGACGAAAAATGAAACTTTAAATCTGAGCAAGCACCGAGCTCGCTGCCACAGGAATGTGAAATTCACAGAAAAAACCCCGGATCCTCCCTCTGACATGACCGCTGTGGCACTGGGAAAACCTCTTGCTAAACAGGTGACAATAGATTTAAGAGCGGCAGGACTCAGTGCTGCTGAGTCTTTGATTTGATTTAGTTTTTGCTGTTTTACTTGCATCTGTTTGAAAGAGTGAGTGTAAACACACAAAGCTTTGTTTTATTTTATATGCTGGAATATACAGAAAATAGGTTTAAATGTTAAACACATTTCTTCCAGTCAGACACTGTTGCATATAATTATATTTTTGCTTAATTCAATGTGCATAAAGTTAAAAGATTAAAACTAATAAAACATGTTTTTTTTAAAAGAGACTTTTTCAATTGATTAAATTTTATATGATGGATTATGCAGAAAAAATTGAATTGGGCTTAAAGGTCTGTTGCTTTGTTCAGGTTGTATATCATGTTTTTAAAAAGTAACTAATTGCTTTTGAAAATAAGTAATTAGTAAAGTGAAAGGATTACCTTCTTGGAGGAGTAATTAGTAAATAATTACTATTTTCAAGTAACTTGACCAACACTGCATACCACAACTACAAAGATACAAATGGTCACCAAACAACTATAAAAACATACAAATCAAATACAATAAATAAATAAACAAATAACAACAACAACAAAAGAAACAGCCTAAAAGGGTAAATTACTACAGAGATACCAAAATAGCGCAAACAGAAAAAATGACAAATGAACTACAGAAAATAGCAAAATGCTACAAAACCTGTTTAAAGAGACTCAAAACAGCTACAAGAAAATGCAAAATTACTTAAAAAAAACAAAACAAAACAAGGCCCCAAAAATCCAGAGAACATTTCAACTATGGGTAAAGTATCGCAAGAGAAGAGTAAGAGCCTTTGTCTGTTCTCAGAGTTCTCCAAATCCTCTGTGGATCGGATGTTACCTATCAGCACACGACTATTCGCTGTTTTAATTTAAAGTGTGTATTTTTGTGCGGTTGTGCTCAGGCGCACACATCATGGAGGTCAAAGGTCAGAGAGAGAAGCAGCAGGCCTCTACATCATTCCTTTTCCACAGTGTGGAATAGAGCTTCAGGTGATGGATAGCATTCTTCAGGCAATGTGTGTGTGTGCACGTCACAGTCACAAATTACGTCTTAATGACTCTCTTTACAGATCATCACCCTGCCCGGGAGAAGGGAAGCAGGCGGGGATATGAGTCGCCCCCCCCCTGCTGCTCTGCCTAAATGCAGTAGTGCATGGGTATTAGCAAGCTGTGATGGAAGAGCCTTGTAGGAGAAATTGGGGGCAACAGACCAGGAAAATGGTTTGTGTGTTATCTGTGGAGAAAAGGACAAATGGTGTTTAATTGGTCTGACAACATATGACCCACAATGTAAGCATAGTGAATCACCGTGGAATTTTACAGTTGGTACGCAAGTGTGACTGACAGTCAATGTTTAACATGCATCTCCTCAAATTGCATTCATTATGGTGTTATTAACCGTCTCGTATATCTTTATTTCAGTTATTTACTTCTTTTCAATATTTGGGAGCCATACTTTAAGAATAAAAATATTAACATCACTTTCAAAGAGTAAGAAGTTGATAGCATTAGGACTATCACTACATCACATTTGTACTACACATAGAGCCCAAAAGAATTCACAGACATTTCAAATATCATTGCAGGATTGAAACAGAAGTTGGAAACAATAACACCACCAGTCTTTTTTTATATTTATTGTGTGTTCTCTTTTTCCTTTTTGGCAAATAAATTATACTCACACGTGTGCAGGGAGTTCAAGAATGAATCTAACCAACCGCTTTTTGTAGTTTTGCCTCTGAACAGCACTACACTAAATTTTAAATCAGACAACCAAGAGGAGATTAAAGTATGAATTGTTGGAATCGACTGTAGGGGTCTTTAGAGGAAAAACTACAAAACATGTGTAATTGTCCACATTCCTGTCTGT